ATGAATGGCTTTAAAATGTGATGATTTTATTGGTTCATCTTTGTCTTAGTCACGGGAGGGGTGCGAATAACAATTCTTCTATTATTATTATTATGATGATGGTAATAATCTTTAATCGATTGATTGATTGGTTGATTGTTTGTTTGTTTGTTTGTTTGTTTGTTGTTTGTTTGTTCAAAATTGAAATTAAAAAAGACGAAATAATGTTTTTGATTGTCACGTGAGTTACCTAAAATGGTAGTTATCGAGGCGCAACATTGTATATATTAAAGATGGTTGATCACAAAATCTTTTTTTACAATTCAACTCAACTCTCTCTGTGATTAGTTATTTGTGTTTTTAATTGTGTGATAGATATATGTACGGTTAGCAAAAGATGAACACCTTATTATTATAGAAGTAATAAATAGATACATTAACTACAAATCAACAAGAGTCTTATAAAGTCGGGCCTCTTTCTTAAATTTCGCTGTGCAAAACATCTTTATTAGTTAGTTATTCAAATTAAAAGAGGAACTAACAAAATTGTACATCGGTCAATTTAAAAGTTAAAGTAAAAACGATTTTATTGAGAGAATGAATCAACATTCCAATAATTCCAATCAGGTCATTCATAGAATATCTGCCCAAAGGACAAATGTTTAAACAATAAAAGGTACAGCTTCATATTATTTCTACATGGATCAATACGAAGTAGCATATTGTGAAATTAGTAGATTAATTTATCCGTCAAAGGCAAAGTAAATAATTCAATACGAATGTTATACTATACTGATAAATGAAAGCTACATTAAATAATATTGTCCAACTCTGATTTGGAGCTCTTTGATACTATGCGCTATGTAATAGAAATAAACCTTGTTTAGATTGTTTACACAATTAATTATTAAAACTTTTATCTAAAAGCAAAAGATGAAAAAGAAAAGCAAGAAACAAAAATTTAATATTTCACTAGAAGTAAATGAAAATAGAATGCATGTAGATGGCACACAATGTTTTATGAATTAATCTGTTCCAAATCGACATTCGAACCAATATATAATATTACACAAATTAATATTCTGCGTTGAACGTAGTCGTGTGAAAAATAGAGAACCAAATAAAAAGAATAATAATATTAGGGGGAAAACAAAGTAACCGAAAAAGAACAGATTTTAGAGTTCAACAAGCATTTATTCGAAATAGAAACTACTTGTTTCGAATTTAGCCAAAACCTTAGAATGTGCAAATGAGAGCAAGAGACTCGCTAAAATTGTTTAATATTAATGATTGATTTAATTGATTGAGATAATTCATTTCATTGATTGCAGATTGATATAAGAAAAAAAATTTAATATTTCTTTCCAATGAGAATTAAATTATATATTAAATGTGGTTGTATAATCAAGCGCACACATTAATAATTATGATTATTAGATTTCATATAATAAATAACAAGTCTCGTGGATTTCAAAATTCCGATGACGTCAATGGATTAATCACAAAAAAAAGAAGCAAGTTTTCAAAACGTAAAAAGTTGTTTGAAAAAAAAAACAAAATAAAATAAATAAATATTTATTTTAAATTTTTAATATTAATTAAATGATTAAATAAATAGAATTTATAAATATATTTTTCTGTACATCTAACTAAATATTTTTTTTCATAATTATTATAGATGGGATTATTTATCTCATGAGTGTATTAATTAATTATTATACTAAACCGTCGTATAAACTTAACGCTTGAACAATAGTGGGATCTTGTTTTGAACCTTCTTTAAATTCTTCCATACTTAATTTACCATCATTGTTCTAAATATTCATGGATTAATGATTGTTAATATTTTCACCGTTTTCATGTAAAATATGATCATCATAATTTACCTTATCCATCAAATTAAATATTTTATTAACACGTTTCTCTGGTGTGTCCTCATCTGCTGGTAACTTCACCATACTTCCAACCATTTTATAAATGGCGTCAACAATTCTTAACATTTCTTCGTGCGTTATGAATCCATCCTTATTAATATCGTATAATTGAAATGCCCCTATAATGATATTTATTGTATATAGCATTATAATAAATTTTCATTAAAATATCAATTACATAAAATCACAAATATTTACTCACATAATAGTTTTTCATCCAATTTTCCTCTCGAAGTCACAGATAGCGCACATATAAATTCTTTGAAATCAATTTTTCCGTTATTATTTTCATCAAACACATTGAAAACATACTCTGCAAACCTTGAAGGATCACCGAACGGAAAAAATTGTTTATAAATTTTTTGAAATTCTGTTTTGTCAAGTTCGCCGGTAGGACAATCCTTGAGAAATCCTTTGTACCTTTACAATAACAATGACGACAACAACAACAAAAATAGTAAGTGTCATTATTATTATTATACTTGAATTAATTAAGTGAATCAAATCAATCAAATTATTTATTTACCATTGTTGGAGTTCGTTTTTATTAACTTGTTAAATCAAAAAGAAATTTAAAATTAGTTAGTTGATGAGAGGAGAGGCGAATTAAGTTGAATAAAATTTTTTTTATCATCCTTAAGGAATGTGTGTAGTAAATTGCAAACGTTAAAATTGCTACCATTAATAAATGTTAAATAGTACCTACAATATGTACATTTCTGAAGTTCCTTAAGTTGTTCCTCACTAAGTTTACTATTAGATTTTCCCATATTTAAATAAATAATTTAATTGCGATTATATAAATTATATATAAATATCAGACTAGTTTTATTAATTTTTTAAAAAATTAAAAAAAAATAACAAATTTATTTATTGAATTTTTTTTTTCAAACCTAAATAATCAATAATAATAAAGAGAAAATTTCCATGGAATGATTCCATGCAATTTTATTTTCAATAAATATATAGGTATATATGTATGGCACAAATTAAATCACGCGTTAAATAGAAAATTTCTAGAACAAAAAAAAAAATATGGCAATTGTAAAATTAGACTTATTGTCACACATCCAATATCCATATATATTATTATATATCCCCAAGTGCAAATGATGCAAATGGTTCTTGAAATACAAATAGAAGAAGAAGAATAAGTTTAAATTACGCGTTTATTTCTGAACATTTAAACTTTTTGAATTTAAAATTTTTAAAATCCAAATTATGCCATCAACTCGTATGTCTATAAATAACGATTCTGATAAAGAGAACACAATGGACATGGAAGATGTTGTAATGAACAATACTAATAATTCAAAAGAACATTCTCAGAATTCTCGCTTAAAAAAATATGAAAATATTATTGGGAGCAATATCTATGATCCTGACCAAGATAAAAACGAGAAAAGATGGCTACGCAAAGAGTATAGAAGTCTTATAGAAGAAACTGAGGGTATGTGATATTTTATAATAAATTTTATGAGCATATATATTAATATTAATATATCAATATCACTTTTATTATTAGAAAAACGTCAAGAATATTTAAGACCTGATTCTGATGGCCTTGAAAAAAATATTGCTAAAGCTAATGAATTATATGAAAAAGGTAAAAAAAAAATTCATTCTCATCTTCAATATATATATATATAAAGATATTCGCTCACACAATCAATATTAATGTTATAATAAAGTAAAAAATACACACGAAGCAACGCTTGATTCAAGACTCTTGGTGTTGTCGAGTGATTTGGGTCTACAGAAAGCTCGTCGTATGAGATTGGACAATAATTGCTTTGATACAGAAGATTATATATCAAAAGTAGTTGGCCGTTTGAAAGTTAGAAATGCTGATAATGAAGATTATTATGATTGGAAAAAAATTGGTAAACTTGCTGCACAATCTACTCTAAGGGTACCCACAACTGGATTCATGTAAGCATTATTGAATTATAAATTTTATTATAAAAATGATTTTTTGCTAAAAATAATAAAGGTGATTTATTATAGTGCACAATTTGCATTGCCTGTTTAAAACATTAATTTTAATGCTAATAATCACTAACAATGCTAAATAATGCAAAATTTTCAATTTCAAAAGTCTCGGACCTCTTTCAATTGAACAAAAAGAAAGACAAAAGACTGTGAGAAGGGTTCTTGAGAAACATGAAAAAGATCTTAAAACGCCTGTTGAAGTACTTTATTGCATTCCACTTTGTTATCTATTACTTGTTCTACGAACAAAATAATATTCTTTGCTCTTTCTTTCCTATTATTTATTTATTTATCCATTTTTTTCACACTTAAAATTATATACATACAAGTTGAAAGAAAATGATATTAGAAGACAAGAAAATGAAACAACAAGAAATGTTAGAATGATCTATGACGTTCTAGGAGAAAGTCAGCCCATCAATTTCTTCAACTTTATCATAAACCCTCATTCATTTGGGCAAACAGTAGAAAATATATTCTACCTATCATTCTTGGTGCGAGATGGAAAAGTTTCAATAGACGATGATAGCGGGCAACCAATTCTAAGTTAGTGTTGATTTTTTTTTTTTAAAAAAAGTATATATATTATAATTTTATCTAGAATATTAATATACGTGTTATTGCAGCATTATGTGAGCCACCCACAAGTGATGATTACGCTCAGGGTTTGATCAAGAAACAATTGGTGATGGAAATAGATATGGACACTTGGAAGGTGAACTTTCTAGTCGTATTGAAATCAATTAAAAATCAATTAATTATTAATATCATTTAAAAACCATTAATAAACTATTAATAGGATATTATAGAAGTTTATGGCATTAATGAGTCTGTAATTCCAACAAGAGAAAGTAATCAAGTTGGAAATGATGGTAAATGGTATGGATAAAGAATAAATATGTATAATAAATATACACAGTATACATGATAAACACACTTGAGTGTCATAATTGTTTTATTATTTTTTCTGAAAATTACAAATTATATAAATTTTTTCCAGTCTTAGAAGACGTATGGAAACAAAAATTATAAATAAATAATTCCATTTTTGTATTCATGACTTTACAGAGGTCTAATTGTATATATATATATATATATATATATTTGATTTAAAAATTTATAGCATCATTAAAGTTAACTAACCAATTTAACAAAAAACCAACTGATTGTGCACCACCAATATTATTAATATTACCATTGATGTTATCACCACCACCACCGTTATTATCATTATAATATTCAATATTACTATGTTCTTTTTCCAACCATCTTTTGTCAACTTGACTACCTAACGCTGATTTTCTATAATGTCCTTAATGTTACACAAACTTCTCTATGAAAATAACATTGACCTGTATTAGTATCTATATAGTATTAATATAAATCAAATTTTTTTACGAATATTTGAAAATCAATTTATTCAAGAATATTTGAATATAATTTATTTCGTAATTATTTTTGAATACTTGTATTTATTTTGAATATTCATAATCAGTTACACCCGATAAAAAATGATGATTTTTTTTATATTAAATAATTTTTTGATATAGCTTGAAATGAACAATCAAGTTGATATAAGAGATATGATGTCAAAAAGAAACTTTATCAATTAAAGAATAAGAAAACATTAACAATGGTTTGTTAGAAATAATTACGAGTATCCAAAATAATTACAAGTATCTATATGCGAATATTTGGATTTAAGCGGTTAGAAACCCTAACTGCATTGGTCAATGGACATTGCATATCAAATGTAAATTCATATTAATACGTGTAACATTACGAAAATTGTTTGATAAGTCGGTTTTGGCCTAACTCAGCCAAAATTTTTCAGCCCTTTTTTTCCCTATTTAAAATCCCTTGATAAGTCTATAAAGTCGCGATAAGTTGTAAGTCACTCTTTTTAGGATAAGTAAATTGTTCTCGATAAGTCAGCCTCACGTGACATTTTCATTAAATAAAAGATCATTGTTACTACTTTTAATAACGTATGATTTTTTATTTATATCATACATTATATCTGATGATTTAGAAATTCTTGTCGCGATATTTTATTATTTCATTTTGTATCATCAGGTTATATCATTGATTGTATAATTTATTGTCTGAAAGAATATTCTTGTTTGTATTGTGAAAAATACATTTATTTATTTCTATTATGTTTTATTGTGTTCGGAAATATGTAAAAAAGGTTGGTTGATTTTCCAAACTTTTGAAATTCTATATATATAATAAAAAAATTAATTTTTATTTTATTTTTATGTCACGTGCTCTCTGTAAGACAGTCTTGGTAAGTCAGCCAAACATGCTCAGCCATTCGCGGCTTACTTATCAAGTTTACCTATGTACCTGTTTTTTTAAAAAAATTTCCATCTTCCACTAAGGAAATAACTTTCTTATATTAAACAAAAAACATGAAGCTAAACCAAAACTTTTAAGCGACTGTTAAAGCAAGAATCTAGCTTAAATATTGGTTATTCTATGACAAGCTGAAAGTATTGTTTTATTGACGCTTATCTCAAGATTGTCATACAACCAGAAGGTGGAATGAAACAAACTTGATGTAGATACATGTATTAATTAAAACATGCTTTATAAAGTTTGTTAAGAACTCTTTGAAGGTTAATTTAGAAGAATTTAAACTTGTTTATAAGGTGTCAAAATCCTGGAACAATTTGTCACACTAATTGATTGTGAGTGTATTTTCCAAAAATGTTTTGGTGACCAAACATCAAAATTCTATTAATAAAATTATTTTTGTGATAAATAATTTTAAGTATTGTTACAATTTCCTTTAATATAAGATTTTTTTGCACCAATCAAGATAACTAACTTGCAACTGTTTTGCATTATAAACATATTCTATTACAATAATTATCCAATCATGCATGCAACATTTATTAAATTTATTTAAATAATAATAATAATAATTCGTTATTTTTATTACTTGTCTAAATTCAAAGAAAATTTCTTAAATTTTTCTTTCTTTCATCAGGACTAATTAGATCAACAAAAGAATTGATTTCACAGCTTATTTTCACCAAAATCCAATTATTGATATACTTAACAACATATAATATAGAGTTTATATAATATATTGATCACCACATACTATACAAGGACCAAAATTTTTTCAGCTTACACCTTTATTCATTTTATTAATGATAAATGATATGATTTACAAACATAGTTGATTGGGGTGTGCGACATTCTACGGTGCAGATCATCTATAATCATTAATTGCTTATAGTAACAATTGGTCAACTTCAAAATACTAAAACAAAA